TCTGGGAATGAGTGTGAGCATAGTTCAGGACATACAAGTCACCACCTTGATCAAAGGTAGACGATTTGGGCATGTAATTAGCAAGGGCTGAAAACAAATCTGCTCACATACAAGAGGTGTCCAAGATAGAAGACGGTACGGACCTTCTGTTCCGGTACGATCTGAGTCACAGGTAAACATCCGACGTCGACACCTCCAACGATCTGAGTCGACGATCATTTCCGGGATATACGATAGCTTACCTCGAAAATCCGGTACCATAGCTTTAATAACCCAGACACGACCTGTTTGGGACTGCCATAGGACTGCCGATCAGGCCAGGGGTGGTGCCAGGTCAACGGGGTGGCAGTCCTATGGCAGTCCCATTAGTCGTGTCTGGGTCATGGACCATTTTCACCCGTTTGTTTGAAGTGGAACACCGACGTTTCCACCCAAACCCGACGTTTCCTCGTTCCGTCCAACGGGCCGTATACGGTCCAGGATCAGTGCGACCCACTACGCCTTCGCTGCTCTGTCTGATGGAGCTGTGGTCACCTGGGGTGGGCCTGGAGGTGCAGTGGAGAAACGGCCGCTCATGGTGTCCATGGCAAAAACGCTGAGGGGGCTGAAGACACTGCAGGTGTGTGGTATATATATATATACTTTGTAATATATGATATAGTTGAATACCAGGATTCGTCTTCCTTGACACCTCATGACCTTTTAAATGTTTTCTTTCAGGTGAAACTTTGTCCATCTAGTTCTCGAAGACCAAGTCCAGCAAACCTCCCACATTCTTAGTTGCTTAGATCAGCTGCTTAGATCAGCTAAGCGGACAAAAGCTGCAGTGGCCAGTCCCACCTTCCGGTAGGTTAGTGGACCTTCTCCCACCTACCCATGTCACACCTATGGTGTAAACGATGTGTTTCGATTGCAAACGATTTTTGCATATGTGGCGAAGTTCATGAGGTGCCGCAAGGGTTTCTGCCCAAAAGAACCCTCAGGTGACAGCAGCAGTGTCCAAACTCAGCTGAAGAATGTGCAAGAAATCTATGCTTCTGGCTATGCATTTGCAGCCATTTTGGCAGATCGTTCGGTTGTGGCTTGGGGTCATTTGGATTCATTCATGTGCAAATATTGTGATTCTTTTGGATGACACAGAATTCCCAAGGTAGTGTCCCAACTGCTTGTTGCACTTGTTCAGGTCCTTATCTATGGACCGTGGGATTGGGTTGTGTGCTTTATGGTGGTTTTTCCGTTGAACTCAACCCCACGTGCAAAAGAAACATACTATTATCCTGAAGATTCAAACACCTTGAAATTTTTAGGAGTTTTGGTTAATTGGGTGTTTGCGTGGGGAACTAGGTGTTCTAGTTGTTTTGTGCCAAAACTAGGTGTTTTGAAAACATGTGCCCACACATGGCCCAAACTTCCCAAATCAATCCCCCACACTGCCCACGATGATGCGCACATCCTGCTATATCCTGCTCACTCTTCTTTGCAGCGAAGAACGCCGGGGAGCCAAGGTTTAGTGCAGCTATGCTGTCTGTATAGAATGGCTAGACGGAAATGGCATGTGTAGCCCCCTGGGATCTTCATGTCTTCTGTACAACCCAAGGGACTGAGCTACCCATCCGATATTGCTTCCCATCCCATCCAATGAAATTTTCATGACTCCAGCACGAAGCTGCAAACAGTAACAGTGAAACAACTCCAAGCCTCCAGGACATTTTTGTCAAAGCAGGCGCAGCATTGGCAAACCCATAACACATGCAAGTGTTGGCATAGACACACAAGGCATTTGCATTACCCGCTTGGACAACCAAGCGCTGTTGAATTCTAGGAATGCAGGCCTCGTCGTAGAAGGTCTAGAGCGCAGACCCCAACCCCCTTTTATGTTTGAAAACCAGACGTCAACCTTTTCTTCTGTATTACATGCGTCCGGACTTTGGCGGAGAGGGATTCAGCAGTTGGAATCTCAAAGATTTGTAAAAACCTTTTGTGAGGGGTTCATAGAGTTGGCGTCTCAGAAAATGTATATATATATATACGTATATGCTTTCGGAGCTCTCAAGCCGGAGTTCCACCTCGAAGCAGGGGCCAACTGCTGTATTCCCCTTTGGGTCCAAAGATGTTGGGAAATGTCAAAATTCAGCATTGACCAGACAGGTAGTGCTTTTGCGAAGCTGCACAAGACTCCAGGAATGGGTTGCAATTAGGCCTGTCAAGCTTTGCATCAAAGCCATCAGAGCTCTGAAAAGGCCCCTCCCACCCACAACTTTTCCGGCAGCCAAACTGGTCACACTTGCAGCAAAGCCATCATTCCTTGTGTGTGGAAGGAGTGCGCAATAACCCCAATCATTGCCAGGCCAGCAGAACATAGCAGAACTGAGGTAATTGGAGGAAGGGGTCCGCAATCCATTTCTTGCTTCTAAGCTGGGGTTGGCCAACAGCCTGAAATCAAACGTTTATTCCGTTGCGACGTCAGATCCCTGAAGATGCTCCTTTTGGCGCTCCAAAGTTGCAATAACCACGGGAAGGTAAAACACAGGAAATTACCTGATTTTATCACTTTTCAGGATTTGCGGGTGTTTGCGGTTTTTTGCGGGCGTTTAGCGGGTTTTTGCGGGAGTTTTGCGGGTAATTTTGGGTGCGGCAATTCACTGGAAAAGTGTCAAAATTGTACAAACATCAGGTAATTGACCTTTCAGCCTGTTACTTCTGCATACTTCTGCTATGGTGACCCAAACCGCTCAGGCCCAACAGCTCCACCTGACCTGTGACGTCGGAGGCGGCTGGCGAGTGCGTACGCTGAACCAGTGAGTTGTCGCAATTGCGGCCTCTGTGAACAAACAACTTGAGAGAGAGAAAAATAAAAGAAAGGAGCCGTTCTCAAGATCAGCCAGACATATAGTTCCCAACAGCGTGGATCCCACAAACTTTAATCGCGCGTCAAGGTCGTAAAGCTGGCAATTCGGCATCCCACTCGCCAAGAGCCAGGAGCCATTTTCACAGGTGGGACAGCTCAAATGCATTTTGTTTCGCACTAGCCAACTCAAACCCAAAGGCTTGTCGTAATGCCTTGCCCCTAACATCCCCTAACATGATTGCAAGAGAAGCAAGAATTACAGACCGAAAACATGACCCTTTCCAGAGCAGGAGACTGCAAGAGACATCAATCCCCTCACTGTGTCAGGACATACTCGAGAACCAACTACCCTCCGCTAGGTTGTGATATAACTCTGGAGGTCGGACAGTTACTCCAGCCTCGACATAGGGAGTATGTCTGGGCTGCACATCGAAGCTGCGTACATCTTTCCCCAGCTCCTTTTTGCCAATGGTTTTCACGAGAAAGCTACAGGTGCAGATGGCAGAGCGACCCAAATTCATCCCCATTGGACTCAGGGACTAGCAAATCATATATGTGCCCTAAGAGCGATGCGGACCACTCACCTAATCACAGTCTTAAGATGGCCCGTCGCTGAAGCCAGGTATGCATGCCGCCTGGTGTGGGGCCATTTGATCTGTCGACTCCGGGCAGCTGCTTGGACTCAAATAGGATCTAGACAGTTTTTGCTACAGGAAACTGCCACTCACTCTGTAATCATACACTTAATTGAAGTTTTGCAGTGGTAGCCATCGACATAGTTTTGCATACCATGCGTTTGCCAGTGCAATCCAAGGATTGGACGCGTTCCGGATTGATGGCGCTGATGCTATGAGTTGAAAGATGCCCCACCCAGAACGCCCGCTTGCGCGGGCTCCCATGCCCCCAAAAGCCAAAATATCAGCGAGATACACCCTTTTGATCCATTATGCACCAAAAGTAGGTGTTCTGGTTGTTTCAGTTGAGGCTCCAAAAAAGTAGTGATATAGGGTCAAGCACGAGAACTCATGAAAATTTTCAGTCGTTGGAAGATTCAGGATGGTTTGTGATTTTGTGAAACCGGTAGCAAACGCATACAGTATGTTTTAGTATGTGTCATACCTTGTTTGCTGCAACTGGTGTCCTTGAAACCATGGTACATTTGTGTGCCTGCGGATTCCGTCTTACATGGTGACCCACAAAAAAATGGTGCGCCATCAAACTCAGGCAGTTCACAGTATGGCGGTAGCACACATGATGTGGAACGTCGCTTGAAGAACGTCGAGAAACTCTACGCCACCGACGCGGCCTTCGCAGCATATTTGTTTGACGGATCGCTGGTGACCTGGGGTTTGGCAAGATACGGCGGTGATAGCAGCGGAGTGCAAGCAGAGTTGCAGCAACTTTGAGTGAAAAAAAACATGTGTCGATGATGGGGTTGGCATTTCTGGAGGTTTAGGCAAAACAGCAATGACTCATCTAGTGCGATCTAGTGCGAAGCCCATGAACACATGGTATGTGTCACCAGCAAGCGGAGCAAATGTATGGGACACTCCCAATGCTTTTCCACATATTCCGATTTAGACTGATTGAGACGGGGATTGTTGGCCCATTGTTTGGGGGATCGTCACGTCTTTGGTCACGTTCGGCGTACGGTTCGTGCCACGCCGTCGATCGATTGTCTCGGTGGTGCGACGTGGTGCTCGACAGAAACGAAGTCCGACGATTGGACGAGAGATGTCGAACAGGTCAACGGTGAACATATTCAGATCCATACCCAGACACGACTAATGGGACTGGCATATATATATGCCGATCAAGCCAGACCCCCCTGGCACCACCACCCCAACTGATCGACATATATGGCAGTCCCATGGAGTGTTAGGCATTATATATGGATGTCGTGTCAGCCCGGCTACAGGGGCCCTCCAACAGGTCGCCATTTGCAACGGTTGTTCAAAACCGAAACCAGAGGAGGCTTGGCGTTTCATCGTCGGGAACCTACGGCATGGGCTGCCACGGTTCCGTGCTACCCACGTCTCTCCGGAATTCCGGCCGCTCCGTTCACGTGGTTCACGTGGCACCCACCGGTCCGCTGCCTTCGACCGGACGAACGCTTCGACCGGACTCGGTTCGACCGGACGAACGGCGCCAGGCGGCCCGGAGGGTCAAAGTGCGAAGATCTGCGAAACCCAAGTCGCCCAGGTACGTCAGACCGGCAGACGTGGTGTTGGGAGCGCCGAAGCGATATGGGACGGTTTGGGTTTTGAGGTGAATGGAACACATCCCCCTTAAAACGGTCAGTCCCCCAAAAAGGGCTTCAAATGTGCCTTGCAATGCCTCGCGGTTTGGTGGTGACGATCTCGGACGGGAGAGTGAGCAAGAGACCGCCGAACACCTGCTGGAGCGAAGGGAAAAGACGAACACGTTGAGCTTCACGGGTCATCAGGGGTTCCAACCACCAGGTTGGAGCTCTAGAAGCTGGAGTTGCCATTCCCAGGTCCAGCCAGGTCCAAGTTCAGGTTTAGTCCTCCAAAACTCCTTGAGTAAAGTCTTCAACTCGTTGTTCTTCATTGTTTTTCTATCAACTCCAGTCAACGGGTAGGTCCCTGACCTGGTTGGGATACGATGCCCAGTGTCGAGCTCGCTGCCCTTGCTCGCTCGCAATCGCTCGCTGTCAGGTTCGCCCCAGAGGTCCCCAAGAAGGCGCGCTATCTGGGCTCGCCAGACTCGGGTCATGCGAGCTGATGTGCAAGAAACATATCCATCACTAAATGGGACTGGAGTATTTTACTTACATTGGGGTAGTTTGAAAAAGGGGTCAATCTATAATAGGTACATATGCCAGTTGTATGCCGTGTTTGGGATTTAGACTAAGACCCGCAACTGTTGGTCAATGGACACCCCTTACCTTCTCAGGGGTTCTTCATAGACACCCCTGTGCTGGGCCCTGTTATGTGTCTTTCCCAGCAAGTTGTTTGAGGCAACAGGTAGGCCACATCGAGCACACAGAATTCCCACAAAGAGGTTTTGGCTAATCAAGGAGTTTCATTCAGATCATATCATGCTGGGCTGCATCTACGATTCTTCCAAAAACATGGATGCTCAAGCATTTGCCAAGGATACAACCCCCTTCTTGGAACCCAATGGTTTCATGATCTTCATGTTCAAAAGCATTCCTTTTGTTTCCATTCTGGCTTTGTCATGTCACTCCGGTCAAACTTTGCGACTCCCAGTCATGTGAACAGCACGTCCTTGATCGTAGCCTTGGTATGGAGTATTAAGCACCCAAACTTCACCAAAGAGCCACTACTGAAGTGGAATTCTACACGCACTGAGTCATCCCAAAAGTCATCTTGGAAAAAACACCAACAGTTTCCACGAAATCCAGGGCCTTTACCTTCCAATCCTTGGCAGGAGGAGGCCGCCGACCCCGTGGCCGAAACCGTGGACCTCACCAACGGTGCGGCCGCGGCGCCGGCGGCGGCTGAAGCGCCCGTGCCACCGCGCGGGCCGCTGGCGCGCGTGAAGACGGGGCCGCAGATGGTGCGGCGGAAGGTGCCACGTTGGGCCTGGAGACCCAGCCGACGGGGGGCGAGGGCACGGGGGTTCGGGCAGGCTGTTCGGGCGTGAAGCGGACGACCGGTGAGGTGACGAGATTGGGCGTTTTTGGGAGGAAGATGTCTGAAAGGCGGTCGACGGGGTCTTTGGTTTGGTTGAAAAACATGGTCTTGAGAAGTAATACATGGAATCCTTGAACCTGAGATAGGGGACCTAGACACCTGGACTTAGAGAGAGTGAGATCACGGTGCAGAAGGTGCTTGCGGAGTGCTCTTCCCAATGCCTGTGCATTGGGTGTCACCTCCCAGTCTGGTCACAGGTTGAACCCCTGCTGGTAGTAGTGAAAAGTGGTCCAAATCCACAGAAATCTGAATGCTTGCGACATCATCGAATCAGAGGAGTCAGGGTCTGCGAGTTAGTTTCAACAAACAATTTTGGGCACAGTTTTGCAGAAGGGGCTGGAATAAGACAGGAGGCCATCGCTACGTAGTAGGTTGGAGGCCATCGCTATTTATTAGGTTAGAGTTAGAGGCCATCGCTGTTAGATTGGAGGCCATGGAACAGGCAATGACAGTATTACTTTCTGGCTGACTAACATGAAAGTGGACAAGAGCGTGACCCAGTGCTGGTGTGAAAGAGGGGCTGGAATAAGACCACTGCCTTGGGTTTGACACTCCAGTAGATAAGCTTAACTTAACCGTTATTTAGTCAATTAATCAATAAATCTATTTTTAGGGGTGCGGTTTCGCCAGGTTGAAACTGGTCAACGTTCAACCTGCACTTTCCAGGGAAATTGAGGGTGTCAGAAACATGATTTAACAACAATCTCTACGGGTTGAGTTCAAGTACGCCATTTAAATAGTTTCCAGGACCATCCCAGGAGTGCCTAATGGACTACCCTACACTACTTATGGATCTCCACTGGACACCCCTTGGATAGTCCAGGTATCCAAATATAATTACATGGCTCAGAAGAAGGAGGGGCTGTTGAAACCAATTTGCCTTGGGAATACAACACAGTGCTCCTCAGCCCTGCGTGTCTTTTTAATACATACAATAGAGGCTTTTCTTGGAGGCTTCACCTCTGGATGCCTATTGGGTGAGACATCAGTGCCTGGCAGATTCCAGGTGCCCACCTTTCTGGACAGCCAGTCCAAGTCCAGCCAGGTCTTGGAGAGATACCTTGACCCCACCCACCTCACCATACCTGCCAGCAAATCCAAGAGACAACTTGCCATTAAGACACATAACTTTAAAAAATGATGTACGATATATGCCTGATACACTGTAGTGTACTGTATATATATATATATTAATATATATAGATACTTAGACCTATTTACGTGGGGTCGGCTTGTCCAGCCAGGTGACCCGTTAAACAAGCACCGTTCGTCCATTTGATGTGTACTGTATAGACTCGGCTCGCCTTTTTGGCCAAGAACCCCTACGTACAAGTTGGTCATACAAGTTGGCACTCTTCAAGCAAGCAAACGACCTGGTTTTACGGGGCCGTCCTGGACTTCTAGGGAACCATATGTGATCAGACTGCCGTTTGGAGCCTAACCTGAGACGCAACGCTTAGGCGCCCGATGGCGGAGGAGCTGAGCTCTTGGTGGCGGACAAAGGCGAGGAGGGAAGGCTCTTGGTAGTGCAGGTGTGTGGTGAACAAAAGACAGACGAAAGGGAGCCCGGCTTTCTTCTGTTGGAAGGTCACTTATGAGTTGTACTCGCCTCTTCTAGAGTTGTACTCGTTTGTACTTATGAACTTCAGTTGGGTCCTCGTCTCATTCCAAAAGACCTTGAGATTGACCGTGTTTTTCCTTTTTCACCATTCACCATGTACAGGAAGTGGATATACCTGGACCCTCCAAAGTACCTTAGAAAATGGGACATGACCCTACTACAACACAGGTACGACTGTACCCATTTTCTGAAGTACGAACAGGTCGACTCCAGGTAGAAGTGGATCAAGCCCCCAAGTGTGTATCCAGGACCTCCAGACAGGACACTTCGACAGGAAGGCCCAGGAAATGTCACTTCACGAGACGAGTTTCATGGGAAAAACGGACCTACCGTCGACGGACGCTCAAGTGCTCCCGGAGTTCCCTGAGTCCAGGACGCTGGTCAACCCTGGAATGACCAGGACCACTCAAGAACTCAAGAACCGCCCCCAGGATAGGGACTCAACACAACCCAACTCCATGTGCCTGGATGGTTTGTTTGGCACCTCAGGGATTGGTGGTGAGCTGGACACCCTCACGGAGGCGCGGGTGAACCCCGAGCAGGGAGTGGCGGGTTACGAGTGGCGGGTTACGAGCGGTTAGTGGGGGATCCAGGTCTGGCCGGATGTGAGAGGAGTTAACATATGTTATACTGGTATGTGGTATACTCCTCTATGTTATACAGGCATATACTATATACCAACAGACATATACTGGTCAATTATTGAGGGGTTCTTTCAGGATGAAACATTTGGCTGGTGTACGTGGTTTACACAGCATGATATAGACTAGTCTAGGTGCACATGTTTATGATGTGCACGATTGTGCACCCTCGGGTTCGTAGAAGTGGTGTGCCAGAGAGATACAATGAACCTGAAGGGTTTGATAAGTTGGTCCTGCATCTCAGAGTCTCCAGTTTTCAATGAACAAGAGAGGTTTTGAATATGTAGCAATAATTTGGATACAAGTTCGGGACCTCCAGAAGTATGGGTCAAAACAAACTGCGCCGAAATCTGACACGTGGAGAGCTTGGTTGGATTAATGCTGGTCTCCCAATCTCTCTATATCATGTCGATTTCTGTACTTCGACTCTGCAAAAGTGAGGATCGTGCAAAAAAGGAACAAAACAAAACAACTCATGAGTTGGGCTCGCACATTTTGACATCCATTTTCACACTCAGGTTTTCAGCTCAGACGGCAATTTGTTTTCAGGATTGCTGTTGGACTGTTATTTGTTGGGGGGGGCGGTAGAGCTTCCAAGATGGTAGAGCTTTCAAGTTGAGAACATATATAGATGATACCAAATTAATTACCCAAATGTCAGAGCCACTGATCGCAATATACGGACCATCGTCCCATTCAGATCAGTGTCTTTGATTGCTGAGGAAACGATCGTCATGCTTTGGTGAAACCGGATTCCCTCGGAATCTACACGGCACCCACCAAGTTGCACAGAAACGTGTTTGCCCTACGCAAGCATGACAAAGCTGTAGTGCCATTCAACTGGAGACGCTGCTTCACACTTCACATCATCATTCATCACCGGCTCTGTAGTAGGGGTGTCCCATCTACGGTGTTCATGCAAGCATATCCATCTAGAGCTTGCATGAGGACCACAGATTGACAGATTCTGTGTTTTGAATTTCCATCCCTTAGGAGGGGACAAGGGTTGAATATGGTTGAATCACTTCTTTCCAGGTGGTTCCACACGGCAGGCAGAGAACGCATGGAACAGTTCAAGCCCTTCGCAATGTAGACAATTGATTCTATTTCAACCTCCCATATGGAGAGGTGTGTCAAACCGTGTCTAGGGATATCTTGTGAGTCGGGAGCCTACATTATAGACGAGTTCGGGATCCAACATGGATACCCAGTTCCACATCCTGGTCCATGTACCTTTGATCTTGGGACACAGAACCAGAGTCAGAGTCAACCCCTCCCCAAGACATTGCTGTTTTTTTTTTTCGGGGGCCACTGCGGCCGATGCTTTCATCCCCAAACGCGCAGGAACAGGTGCCCGGAGACGGAAGGCTGGGCGGCGGCTTTGAGCGGGGAGTCTGCATGCCTGTCCTGCGTGGGAAACCATCATATGCGGCAGCGAAACATGGAAGTGGAGAATCCCCTGAAAAGGAGAATTGCCTTTCCAGGGGCCAGGACGTCCACTTCCAGTCCACTTGTTGCAGGGGGAAAGATGATGTCACATTGAAGCTGATGCGACTAGCTGGCCCCCTATCCATTTTGTTGTCCCCAAGAAAAGGAACTGCGAACCCTGTGGAGCCGAATTGCCTTCGAAAGCTGGATCATTTGTGTCTTGACCCTTTCACACCATGGCTACCACATCGGCTGTGCCCCCCCACCCCTCCGCGATTGGATCGATCCATGCTCGTTCATGCGGTCAGGGAGGAAGGGGTCGACTCCTTTATGACGTCCGGGTGATGGGATCCTCTACGTACCACGTCTCGGGTGAGGAACACGTCGTGTAGCGATAGTTCAGGGGCACTCCTTGGATGTCCAGGTGTCGAATTCCCCTTTTGGCTTGAAGAACAACTAGTGTGTCATATCTGGACCCTATTTCAGATCTTCAGATCGTCAGATCGGCCTGCAAAACCCCCGGCTTCTTCTGCTTGATGACCAGCGCATGATCTCATCACACGTGTCGCGCCAGGGTCTATCGTGTGATTTATGACATGGGCATCGGTGACTTGGGCATCACTACGACGTGACGCGAAGATCGGGGCTTCTGGGTGGGCTGAAGCGGCGGCGGCTTTTTTTCTCCGTGTGACCAAGAGAAAGACCACCATGCGGGGCACCATGGGTGAAGTAACCCCAAACATGAAAGCAGGTCCCATTCATCACATAGGTCCCCCCACTCCGCATTCCAACCAAACCTCCTCCGTCCGATGGCCACCTCCATCCCTCCCACCTCTCCGTCCAGTCGCGCGCTTTCCTCGCGGTGCCAGGCATCCGCAAGGAGCCCAGCATCGGCGCCAAGCGCACGGGCGAAGATTTGCTGAACGGCGAGTGCTTCGAGATCAAGACCGAGGTGGGCTTAACGGATGTGAAGAGGAAGGTGTGGGTGGACGGGCGGTTTTGGTGAGGGAGGGAGGCAGGGAGGGAGGGAGGGAGGGAGGTTTAAGGGTGCGTGCTGTGAGCGTTTGGTTTACAGGATGTTTATGATATAAGTGCATGAATCTGGATTTGTTGGGTTGTTCCAATGATTTCGCAGAGTTGGGTGGAGTTGATCTCAGTCAGTGGAATGTGTGTTGGCTTTTTGGGATCAGAACCCCCTAAGTTCTCCTTACAGGATTTGAACACTGCAGAATCCTTTCTTTGGGGATGTTTTGGGTATTACCCGACTCAAAGCAAAATCCCTTGACTTTACGTAGGCTTTGGCACCTATATATTATCTAATCTATCTATCTAATCCATTCCCCGTTTCTGGCACCGGTTTTTCACCACCAACTGGGAGGCCAGTGGACCCCCCAACGCACCCTGTTCATTCCATCACCTGACTGCAACCAGGACCTGCAAGGACTTGAAGAGGTCTGACCTCATTTTCACTGGAGTTGATCATCTCTAGGTCTCCAGATCACTTGGTTTCGGTTCGGTGGCACGACCCGAGCCCGGGTGCCATTGTCCGAGCCCGGTCCAGTACACCTCAGGTGAGGCACCATCGTGCGTCCGGTCCGGGCATACAAAAACCACGATACTCAATGAGGTGTTCAGGACCCGGAGATGAGGCTTCAGGTTCTCATGAGTCCTTTGGACCCCCTCTCCGAACGCACAGAGAGGTGTTCACTGATTCAGAGGTCCACCTGCGATGCGGCAATGATTTCTTGGAGAGGTCTCATATGAAAAGCCTGGGAGAAAAGGTGTATACGAACATTCCAAGAAGATCCAAAATCAAACATCCAAATTTCAGTCCCTGCCTTTCAAATTTTCCGGCTTCACTTGACTCTAAGATAAGGAACGAAGCTTTGTGTGCCAGGAGTCACAAAGGGGTGGTGTTTAGTCTCCAAGTGAGTGGATAATGGGCACTCCTAACCTCCATTAAGCACCCCTTTGTGACTGCTGGTGGAAGCTTTGTGTGGCTTCACTTGACTCCACGTCGATCAGCTCCGCGCCCGCGTCGATCCGCCGCCGCGTCGATTTGCTCCAGCTCCGCCGCGCTGGACGGCGCTACTTTGAGCTCCTGGACGGCCGTGGATGGGTCTTCGACTGGACCCGAAGCTACGTGCGCGCGCAAGCGCCGCGTGATGCGCCTGATGCGAAGCCACGAGGGAGAGAGAGGGGAGAGAGAGGGTAGAGAGAGAGAGAGTGAACATGAAGGCAGAAGCGAAGAAGCGGGCTCTATGCTGGGTGTTGTGGGTCTCGGAGCCTGCAGACTGGCATGATTTGTTGGGCGCAAAAGGCAAGAGACATATCACATATCATATCAGATTGAGGTTCAACAGTACCTTCATCAATATTTAATGCTGGATCTTGATTAGTAAAAGGGATTCCCCCTAAACAAATGGGAGGCCCCTCGATTTTGCTGAGCCAAGCAGCAAGATGCTTGAAAACGCGGGGGGTCGGACGCGGTTGTTCAGCTCGTTCGGAGACGAAAGTTCGCTGATCAAGCGCAGATCTGGATTGGAACCAACCCTCCCTATATAGGATCCAGTCGAACACCTCACCTCAGGTTCGGTACGACTGGACCCGACGTTTTGGCAGCTACATAGCAGTGGACCCTCCACATCACCTCCTGAGGTTCGGTACGACTCGATCCCTTTTGGGGGCCCAAAAGGCTATAGGGCCTATAGGGCACTCACCAGACCCCTTTAGACCCCTCAGACCTCCACCGCACGCTGCTGGACCCCCGCAGGACCGAGATCAACGGGGATCGAGTCGACTTGGTCGAGCCGGGGCGTTCCCAGAGCGGCGTTCGATGTCGGATGCGGAGTTCCTTCGGCTCCAAGCCAAGCCCTATTCGGCTCGGGGATGCTCTGGGTCTAAGGGTGGTTGATGCATGTTGATTCAATCATTTAGAGTGCTTATAAAGGGTGTTCTGGGTTGTCTCTTAGCAGTACCAGCTCTAAGGTGATGTGAATGTAAAATAGAAGCTCCTCCAGATTCCAGACTCTTTTTTTTGACATGTTGACAACAGTGCCGCTTGCCAGTCGGTATACTCAGCAGTTGCCCGTGGCTGAGGTTGGCTGCACAGCTCTACACAGTCCGGAGCGACGGAGAGCGACGAAAGAGAGATGGTTGTGGGTTTATACCCGAGAATGATCCGCCGTTTTCGATCCATCCACCAGGTACCACTTGCTAGACCGGTGTGAAGTTCGGTGTAGACCTGTGTTGGAACTAGGGAGACCTGTTGGACACCTGAAAAGACCGCACAAAATGGAGCGACCTGATGAGCTTTGGTTGGGGACCTATATAGACCTGGACGACAGACCTTGAAGCTTGCTGTATTAACACTGTGCTCTGATGCTTCATTTCACAGAAAGGTTGTTTATTTGTTTTCATTTTAAAGTTATTGGCCTTTGTCATGTTTGAAGAAACATACTATTGACTGCAAAAGGATGCAAAAGGACAGACCATGGGGAGTAGTAAAGGGATCTATTTAGACAAAGAGGAACACTCAAACAACACCATACCATACCTAAATCGTCCAACTATGCAACATTTTGGCTGGTTGTAACGATGCAAAGGCGCAATTTTTGCACTTGTTGATGATTTTAAACAAATGGTGGGCCGTCTCCCTATCCCTATTAAACATACCAATCCAATGTTCCTGGATGAATCATTCAACGGATCTATATCTGGGACGTCGATAAACGCTTGGACTTTGGACATGTCCCTGATTTTCCTGCCCTGGAGACCCCCCCAAAGCCATCCAACAGCCCGGTCCTCAGGGCACCTGTTTTGTTCAGCGGAGAACTCAAACGCCGACGCGAACAGAAACAAACACGTTTTGCGAAACGTGTGGCAAAAGGTGTGGAAACCCGGAACTGTCGGAAACAAGCGTCCAGATGGTCTGAACGTTTGCATATAAGACCTGTCAAACCACCGCTCCTGACGTGTCCAGCAGAAGGTGACTACAGACTACCGGTACCCATCCCTAGGGCTCCAGTCGTACCTCCTCAGGTTCGGTATGACTGGACCCGAACCTGGCACCCTAGTCCCACCAAACCTTAGGTTCGGTACGACTGGAGCCCGGTCCGGGCATGTCCACTACGTCGCACGTGGCACGTTCTTGCCCGACCGAATTGAGGTCGCCTTCCCCGATGGCGTCAACGGCATCGCCTGGAGTCGCTTGGAACTAACAAACCATTTGGGTTGGGACGGCTTTTTTTGGAGTTCGCTCCAAGAGTTCGAACTTGGGGTCAGGAGTCTTCCTGATGTTGTTTTTGTTTCTTTTGTTTGTTCATGAGGCTTCCAAGTCTCATCTTCCCAAGTCATGTAGACTCTGGATGAGTTGATGAGACCGCCCGGAGGGTTCGATATGTTACAGATCTTCCAGCCAACGGCTTCTAAGAAGGTACGGCCTGGTTAATGAAAAACATCTCTAGGGCTCCAGCCATATCCTCAGAAGGTATGGCTGGACCCTCCCAGCACCCACACCAGAACGACTGGAGCCCTAGGGTTCATGAAAAAAGATGGAAGTTCTGGGAGAACTCACCGAACTCACCCAGGCTCCGACCAGACGATGCGCTTCTGCACCGTGAACGGCTTCACCAACGAGGCGCGTCCTCGGACGCGAGCAACGTGCCGGGTCATGTCGACAGGTCGCCTTTTTGGGGGGAACGGAATGCCGAGCTCAGAAGGTTGGATGTGTTTTGGTTTGGAATCACGGATTACATCGGGTAAGATTGGACATTGGATCTATTCCGTATATCCAGTCGTGAACTCAAAATCCATAGAGCAGCATCCCAGTGAGGTGGTTTCCAGGCGTGCACCATTCATGAAGCAATTTGTCATTGAAAGGGTTGAAAAGAATGGCAAGAGTTGGAAGCAAGGAAAGAGCGCCTGTAAGGATAGGCCAAGACGGACTGAGTGGCGACGCTCATATAGAAAGTTGTGTCCTTTGACAGCCAATTTGCGGGCATCCGTAGATGTGGAGGATGTAATAAGTAAGCTTAAATGCGCTACACCGCTACACATCATCCTTATTATATGTGATGATCCTTGAAATCTTATGCTTCAAGCTTCAGGTTAAGTAAACTTGGAAAAGTAGGCGCACCAAACACATCAGTGGAGCGATCCAACAGGAGCCCGGTACCCACCAAACAACCTCCTGAGCGGAGGAGCATCACGAGCCACGACGAGCTGCCCGAATTCTTTTGTCGAAACGGTGTGATGTAGTGAACCTGCTTTTTGTTTTGTTTTTTCTGTTGTGTGAAAAGAGGAAGGTGCAACTTCAAGCAAAAGACAGGTGTATATAGTATACAAGTGTATGTATAGGTCATTTAAGTGAGAAGGGTGCACTCACAGCCGATGCACTTTTTTGTGGGGCACAGTTCGAACACCATTTCGGGCAGATTGTGTGCTGCTGTTCTTTGTTGTTCGCAGAGGTGATTCAGGAAACAAAAAGAAAACAAAGAAAGCGACAGGTGCTGTTTCGCCAGGAGAACATTTTTTCCAGAACCAGCAGCAACTTTGCACAAGGCGCAAACATAGGTGTAAAATCCAATGAACATGCACAGACCTCCACAACATTCCAACAACATATGGGGAACCCAAAAAAGCTGTGGAGGCAAATATACAAGTATTATATACTATACAATTATATATATATATATATATTGCATTATATTGCATATAGGGACCATCCTCACATCTCCTCACCCAACGAGACGGTGACCTCCCAACCTCCTCACCGTGGTCACTCCGCACCGACCCGTGGGGATGGGACGGACCCGGCCGAGGGCGAAGCGACCAACTTAGCACAGGCAGGTGGGGTGGAGGGACGAACAGCGGTCGGAGCACGTGGCCGACATGCGGTCGGAGCTGTCTTGTTTGATGCGGAGGAAATGGTTTTTGCTTTAATGATCTTATTGAACATCCTGGTTTCCTGGGGTGTTCATCCCTGGCAGGGGGAAGACTTGTTGAATGTCCCGGCTTCCTGGAGAAATCCAAGCATCGGGATTTTAGGGAGATCATTACCTCATATATGACAAGCTTCTTTCGCAGGTTCTTTGGTGCGAGTGTGTACTTCCATTTCTTCGGATGGTCGTTTCAAGGAGATCCAATTCGGATGGTTCACCCAACCAAAAGGCTCAGTGTGCCAAAGAGGTTTTTTATCGAGGAGCGGCTCGAGCCCGTTTTTGAGTAGAGAGTAGGGATGAAGTTGGTAACCCCCAAAACTCCATGAGAAAACCAAAACATATCCTTGGACAAGTAGCAGTTGGATGAAAGTAGCGGTTTTTGGCAGAGTATGGATGAACGTAGCAGTTTTGGCCTTGGACAAACAATGTCTCTCTCCACGGAGAGATATGAATTTAATAGCCTTTGAACTCTGGACGTATTGGGGTCTAAATGTTCAAGCAACGCAAGAACATCATGAACCTTACTGCAGCCGGCCAGGTAGGGGTGGCGTTTTGGGTCGCAAGGAAGCTAGCTAGCCAAGCTTGGGCCATAGGAGATCAAACGCCTTCAAACGCGCTTGATTTAGTCCCTGTCCTTAAGGACAGGGTCCCATGTTTTTGGAAAGCCAGAGAATTCCACCGCCTTCCAAACCAACCCGTCTGACGGATTTTACCGACCTGGTGACATCAAATCCCCCTAGGGCTCCAACCCCCCACCGAACCGAAGAGGGTGGGTGTGTGTTTAGGGCTCGGTCTAAGCACCGGTCACCGGGTCGCAGCTGGGACGAAGGAAGTCGCCGTTGGATCCATTCAAGGCCGGCATTCGCACCGGAGACGTCCTGGTGATGATTGACCAGGACCGGACTTTCGTTTGGTCTTCGGCTTAAGGTCGGTCCGAGCTTCGGTGACTGGACAGTGTCGATGAAAGGAGCAGCTGAGGTTGGGGACCTGCATGACCTTGGGAGGTTGGGGACCTGTCCCACACAACGAACTTGGTTGGGGCCTGCAGATCAGGGGATCTTTGATTTTCCCCCAGGTTTGGGGGTCAATCCCCAAACCTGGGGAATATCTTGGGTTTGCTTGTTCTGACCTGTAACAGTCAGTAAACAATATATGACAATTTTTGAACAAGGCCTTTATTCACACCATCATCATCCACTGCACCCAAGCAATAGGATCGGATAGACCCAAGGAATCTCTCTCTTCCTTTTTGTTCCAGGCTTCCTGGCAGCCGCAAATCCCAGTTGAATCGGTGGAACATGGCATCGAACGATATCGGTCACGTCTTGCTCTCCCAGTGTCAGAAGTCACCTGTACCATCGGTCCAGGGGACACCCTGCCGATGTCGATCCCTGTCGATCGTCGTCCTGACGGATAGTCCAGGGACGCCCCGGTTTCGTGGGGTTTTCTGACCAATGCGGAGGTGTCATGGAAGATTTCATGGCTCAAAACTTCACAGACATGCAATCATGGCACTTCAGAGCTGCTCATTTAGTTCTCTTGAACAGTTGATTTCTTTGTGGGACGGACTAGAAAACAGATGTAAACTTACAGCTTACGTATGACCTTGGGAGGGCAGGTCAAACACCACTCACCAATCCGCGATCGACACGCACCATTCAGTTTGGAACAGAGAAAGCAAGGCTCTCGGCCCTAAAAAGACATAGCACAGACCTCATTGATTATACAGTATAAAGAAGTGGTTGGATGAATTACTTGCAGGGGAAACGATTTCCTTGTCCCTCGAGTGGCTTGCCCAGAACTGATTTGAGATGATTTGAGTTCAAATTTCAGCAAATTGTGGGTAATGATGTCGATGTATCTTCCTGTCACTGGTCATATTTGATCATTGACCTAGACAATCTCCTGTTGTTTCATGCAGTTCATGCGTTCGTTGTTGGAATTTCACGGCGAGATGGGCACAAGCCTTGAGTTGACACAAGCCTCAAATGTAAAACAAGAGAAGTTCATGACCATGACACGGGTGTGTTCTCTTTCCTTCTGAACCCCATGAACCCCGAAACTGAAGCCCTCCCCTTCTACACCACGCGCGCGCGCGGTTGATGCGGAATGCGGCAGGATCCAGTGGTGGGCATGCCCTTTGGCACTGCTGGGGGCCCAGAGTGTTGCACAAGAGGATGGCCAACCGACTCCAACAAGACCGTTTCTGTCACCCCAACCCCTATACGGATGCACAGATGCACCCCCTACCGACCCAAAAACACCGATGTCCTGGACCAGGAAGCGCCTGCAGATTTCTGTCACCCTACCTGAGAAGCTACGTGGATCCCTAAAATGGAAGTGGACAATGGATGAACATGGCTCCTTGAAAGACCATTCTGCGCTGCAACCAGGGGTGTGTCCACGTTCATGATTGTTGGAGGGAGGGTTAATATCCAAAACTTCACCAAAATCCCTCGATCTTAAAGAGGAGGCTGAAGGTGCTTTTTTCCGCTGCCCCATAGTCCAAGTGTTAGATCCTGAAATCGATTGCAGCAGGTGTTTTTCACTGAGTGGGCTGGCAAAAGTTTGCTAAAAGGAAGCAAACCTGCACTGCTCCAAGATCCGCCTCAAGAAGCCCAGAGCTGTGAAGTTTTGGCTGATCCAATTGGATCGCAGGCAGACATCTAAAATCATTAAGTCGACTTGAGGCCAACTCCAGAAACTCAAGAAAAACCTGTGAAACCACATCCCCCAATCCTTCCAATCACCCAGACACTCCAAGATACTCTGTGGAAGTACCATACTTGCCCACATCGGGGGTGGTTGATTTCAGGGGGTCACTGTATACGCTACAACAATTCCATTCCCACGGAGTCTTTTGGGATCATGCTATAGCATCTCAATGATCTCATGAACCCATCTACCTGCCACCCGCCACCCACTCCACCCGCAAACCACCGCCCATCTCCACAGCTCGCCCACGTACCGCTGCGCTCACCGGGTGACCGCCCAACCCGCCGCTGTCCACCGAGGTCCTGGAGCGGATTTGGGCAACGGCCGGGCGCCAGCCGGGCTCAGGCGGGGACGACGGTGGCACGGTGGCTGTGGAGACGGGTGCGGTGCCTGGGCGATTGGTGTGAAGGAAGAGGAGAAGGATCATTAGATGGAGTGTCTGTCCGTTGGCCACTCTGGGATCTAGACGGAATTAGAGTATAATTTGCCGTGATTGGACTGATTGGATCAATGTTCTCCCCGCTGGCCACTCAGCACGGGTATGGAAAGAAGTTAAAGACCTCCAGAGACCTCAAGTGTAGTCCTTGAGATGCCTTGAAGTGACAACGAAGTTCACAAGCAAGCTTCTGTAAGGGGAGGCCTGCATATCCTTTTGTGGTGTTTTCGTTCTTCGGCCGCAGGGACCTCGGATCTCGGAAGACAGTAAAAATTCCCTAGGGCTCCAACCACCTCCTCAGAAGATACTTAGACCCTCCTAATCCACCCCAGTCCCACCGAACCTCAGGAGGTAGGCTCGGAGCCCGAAAAAGGGATTAGAAGTTCCCATACTGCGGTCTCCTTCCTGACCGAACCGACCGGCGCGGCGCAACAACCGCCCGTCCAACCCGGTGAGATCGACCGCGTCGCAGCTTGTGGAGGCTACTTCTACAAGGTGACCACTGAGAACCCCTACGGCATCGGGCTGCTGGGCGGCACTGGGCCCCCAAGATTTCTCCCACCCAGCGCCTGAGCGCCAGCGCCTGAGCGCCTGTCATCATCGCCTGTCATCGGTCGTGCAATCCAGAAGCCTTCCACGACCCGTGGGGGACTGGCATATTTAAGGCTGGTGTGTATACCTGGACCCTCCAAAGTATCTTAGAAAATGGGACCTGACCCTACTACAACACAGGTACGACTACGACTGTACCCATTTTCTGAAGTACGAACTGAGACTCTAGTATATTAATATCACACCTCTTCACGCACCCCAACTCGCTACTTGTATCCCAAACATTCCATGGGACTGGAATATATGCCGCTCCAAGTGCCGCTCCATTGACCCCGGTTGCAACCAACCAACCCCAAGTGTATAAGGATGTTTTCAGGTTAATCTTCCAATCCCATGAAATGGCTAGGTCCACTTCTGCTCTCCCATGGGTCGTGGGAGATGTGACCCTGGATGGTCCGGGTGGTCCCTTGCGCCTAGGACCTAGGTAGTCGGAGGGAGGGGCTCGATGAGACCGTCAACACCGCTGTCGCCAGGTTTCGGAGAACCGTCCGGTTGTGAGGTTTGAGCCTCATTGGGTCAATTTTCCGAGGGAATCATATGTCCCAGCTATCCAAGAACTGGTGCAGTTGATGGGGTACTTGCAAGATATGATGGACATTTTGGCCTATCCAAGCCCCTAAACCTCCAAGTACCTCCTCAGAAGGTATTTGGACCCTCCAAACCCACCCCAAACACCTTCACCGAAGGTACTTGGAGGCCTAGGGTCCATACTGCAGGTATTTTCGCCAGCTACTGACTTCACTGGCAATGATGGAATGATTCTAGACAAATGTATGACTTCTTCAGGATTGACATTTTTTCCCCTTCAATCATTTCACCCAATCTTTATTTGTGGTACCTTCCCAGTTCGCCTGACCTTCCCTCGCCCCTCCTGGTGTTCCTCCCAGGATTCGCGACGAGCCGGACGTGGATGGCCCGCGCACCGGGGAGGACTTGATTCGAGGCTCCGTCTTTGAGGCGGCCGACCGATCCCCCGTCCAGAACCGGGCGGAGAAGAGGAGGAGGGTGGAGCGATTTTGGGCGACGTACTCGGGAGAGACGTGGACGATGGGTAGGGATGGGTGGAAGGGCCATGGTTTCTTTCACATTTTGGAGTTGTTCCTATGGTGACCTACAAAATGGGGGCCTTGACCCCTTAGGTGTAATTGTAATGGGGATCTATGGCCTAATAACTAGTCAATCATTTCTCCAAACGGCGCGACATCCTGCATCGAAAAAGAAAAGGATCCCTTTTCGAGTCGCCGGATGCACGACGACCGGGATTGATGATGGGGTGGGGGCGGTTTGGGTTCGAAGCCGACCATGTGCAGTAAAAAGGCCCAGAGCTTAGATAGAACAGTAGATCCACACGTAGAAAATGTGTTGGAAGCCGTTGCTAAGATTTTCTATTTGTTTGAAGATCGAAGTCTTCGATGCGTGGCATGACAGAACGAGACATGCGAGACACTCAAGCACTGAGTGACCCCCAACAATATCCATTCAACCCCTCCAAAAAAGAAGCTCACAGTGCTGGGACCAGGTGAGTCCGTCCCATCCAGTGAGTGGATGTTCTGGGCACCCCTATCCTTCAATCCCCAGCGATCCAGTCGTACCGAACCTCAGGTGATGTGTTCGACACTGAGACATGTAGGTGCCAAAACCTGAGGTTCGGTACGACTGGATCCCTGGGGAATAGGCACTGCCACGGTCGGTCGGTCGCAGTCCGTCTGTCCGACAGGTGGATGAGGTCGTCGAGGTGGAGGAGGGGCGTGACGTCGCTTTTGGCTGCGTGTGTTTGTTCGATTAATTTGGACACATAATAAAACATGTGTTCTAAGAATGAAACGTCAAGTTCATTTTGATTCACATGATCTTGTTTATTGGTTTTGAATGTTTTGATATTTCTTGAAGGTGGAAACCATAGCCATCCGCCATCCACCTGGACAATTGCGGATACGTAGCTCTTCCATGCATGCACAGCTAGCTGCACAGCTAGCTGTCGTCATGTCGTCCTATTTTCTACCTAGAGTGCACAGGTATGTTATACAGGATTGCACCATCCTGTCTGGGTGTCCGGACTACCCAGCCCACTCCTTAGAGATGTCCAGACAGGGTCCAGGCAGGTAGACCTGTATGTTCCCGGCTCCGATCGTCCCATCTCCGACCCGGTGACCGGTGGTATTCGACCGACCCCCCTGGCACCCACCCACCCACCCCTGGCCCATGATCGAACCGAAACGGGTTCGGTGGGGGGTTGGAGCCCTATAGGGCTTTTAAAACCGAGTCGCATCGACGTTGACGTCTCTCCTTGCTCTTCGATGAAATGGACTCGGCAGAAGAGGGAAGTCACGGGCCTCCGCAGGGACTCCACAAGGTTCCGCACGGCAAAGGGGGGACGGGTGTTTTGCTTGGGATGCGTGGCATAGAGATTTGTTCTTAGCTTAGCTTAGCTTAGTTTTTTTGATATATGATATATCCATTGATCATCCGGGATTGCTCATCTCGAGTTTTGTGCAGTCTTCCATGTGACAGAAGCAAATCCAAGATGAACAGACTGTAGCTGCAACAGTGAGGGTGGGATGCCCTTGAGAGGATCAGAAAGAGTTCCAAGTTATGAAGGAATGACTCCTCCACCACTCAGCCCATCATCGATCACCCTCAGTCACCCTCGGTCACCGCCACTCAGCCAGTCGCATCGGTCGGTTCGCATCTGCGTCCCTTCAGTCGTCCAGGAGGATCTCACTTATTTGCATTTGGCTGATCAGCGCGGCTGGGTTGGGGTCGCCCAGGTGTTTCACCACGTTCACGGCGACCGGTCCTGGGAGACTGGTCCCGTCCCGGAAGGTTGCTGCCGTGGTGCTTCGTGAAAATCCGAAGACGATGAAAACGGCCAAATGCTATAGCCATAATATTTATGAAGAACTATGGACATACTGATTTAGGATGATTTTAGGGGTACTGTATATACGGATTTGGCCAAGGTTCCTCTCAGAACAGGTCCAGCCTGAAGACATGTAGGTGCGAGGGTCCAGTCGTACCGAACCTGAGAAGGTACTTGGATGACTAGGGCTTCAGTGATTGTGTCTTTTGCAGCTTTTTTTTCCAGCAGGAACGGTAGGAACCGATTCGGATCATGGCACTGGGAAACCCTCTGTGTTTTTTGTTCCACCCAAAATGACCAGAATCGACTACAAGGACATGGTCACCCGATTTGGTGTTTTCCATGTTTTTTTTCCGGGTTTTGCTGGGTGCCTTTGGACCCACAAGAAGAACCATCTTGGCTGCTATCGTTCGTTTCCCTCCATCATACCCACACGGATGGCCCTAAACGCGCCCTCCATGCGGGCATGGGCACCGCAGGGGCGGCACGTCAGGTCTTTGACAACTCGATCTTCGAGCCCGAGAACCCGCCCGGAGCGCCGAGAGGGCCTCGGTGGATCGGTGGAGTCCGAGCAAAGTAGTCCCAGATTCCATGGTTGGAATGGATGTTGCACCGCACCCGGCATCGATCTCAGTGTGGTCACTCGACCCACCCACTTACTGTACCCAGACACATCCCAGACACTGCATGTATGGAACATATGATTTCATGATGTTTATATTGCCTATAGATTGACCCCTCAAACCACACCGGGCCCGGAACAAATGCCATACATTGATCAAGTCAGGTTTTTCCAGAATGAGACTTGACGACTGAAGCGTTCACTCTTGAGTCTGGTGCTAGCCGGCGCCAGACTCTTCACTTCCGACTCTTCTCGGGCATTGACTCCGAGCTTCGCTTCCCAGACGCTCATTAGACCCAACCAGTTCGCGGTGGTTTTGACCCTCACAACGGTTTGGGACTGAACCAACATGTAGCAGTTGGTTCGGGTCAATGAGAGTCTGGGTTGTATAATTTCCGGAGAAGTGCCAGGTGTGTGGTGAATCTCGCAGAGATCGAGCCGGGCTGCACGTTGACCATGTGGCGTGGCGAGGCGGGAGAAGAGAGGACACTCTCACCGGCCCTTTTCGAGGTCAGAACACGCACCGTCGCCATCCGAAACCGGGAAGTAGGGAAAAGTGGATCACCGTCGCAGGGAAAACCGAACCTTTTGGGGGAGAAGTTGGATTTGATCATCGTGAGGTCCAAGAACAGGGTGGAAAGTTCCAGATGTTTGACATCGGGAGTCAGTAAACGGACATCCCAGTGCAATGTCAGTGGAATTTGAGAGTCAAATGTCACTTGGCGACATGAGACATGTCAATGAAGCCGGCAAGTCATGTTTCACTTGGAGACTCTGGGTGTGGATGGGTTCCAGGGGTGGGGCCGAATTATGCCGAAAGTGAATGCTGATCTTGCTTCTTGAGGACAGCCAAAATAAAAGATTGATGAATTTTGAACACCTGACTGTCAGGGTTGTCTCGGAAGGTATGCACAAGGAGCACTTGGCAAGGCAAATCTTCCCAAACTCGGACCCAACATCACCTCAGACCAACACACCAAAAAGGGGACCTTGCCCCCTCGAAGCCATACCCTGCTGGCAAAACAGCGCCAAAGCGGGCAATTTCAGGTCGACGAGCTGGCGAAGACCATTGGCCTGAAGTTCCGCCAGGCACAAACTTGCATAATTGGCCAGGGACAGAGTGTCGTTTGCCGGGATCATCCAGGATATATATATATAGGGGTCCACTGCAAGATTGGTACACATCAAGGAGTAGAGCTATATCAATAGGAGTAGATCCCGGATATCATTTTGGGGGGTCAGAGAGGATAATATAGACAATTTAAATAGACAATAGCAAGTCCATGAGCACACGTCACACTTTGACATTGGTTTTCAGTTAACTCAATTCCCAGGAGAAAAGGAGTGGCGTAACGGCAAGGTGAAGAGTCCGATCATTTGAAGGTGTTTTAACATTGAAGTTTCTCTCATCTGCAGTGGTGCAACAGCAGCGCGCGAGCGAAGACAAGCGGCAAAGGAAAAGTTTAAGGGAGGTATCATGTGAACCACCATGAATCAACCCGTGGAAAAGTACGGTGACAGCTTGTGAAAAACAGAGCAGGTACACGGAAGTGATCAGCTTTCGCCTCCTAGGATCTTGCAAGGAGCTTCGTTGGGCAGAGCCTTGCAAGTCCTCTCTGCCCCCCTGCATTCAAAACTCTTAGTTACAGAGGTTGACGCACACACGAAGCCGCTTTGCGGCGCTCTCGCGGAGGACCTGAATAGGTACCTAAAAAGCCTTAGAAACAAAAAAAGAAAAACAGAAAGAGCAGCGCTAAGAGGGCAAGAGAGAAAGGTAGGAGTAGACAAAGGTGAATACTTAGCCCTTGACTGGGGTAGGGAAACGAGCCTCAAGAACAACCTAAAAAGCCTGAGAGAAAGCCCAGGAAACGACCAAAAGCGCAAGAAGGAAAGTGGGGGGCAGGGAAGTGTATGTACATGTGTGTGTCCGTGTGTGTGTGTGTGTGTGTGTGTATGACTACCTAGCACTCTAGAGTTACTGAATACTTAGCCGAATGAATTAGGTGCACTAGTTAGGGAGCGGGACTTTTGTCTTACACCGCCCGGGTAGAGTACACTAGAAAGGGACAACAGAGGGAAAGGCACCGACACACAAGTGTGCCGAGTACCATTTCCCTCTGTTACCCTAATTAGAGGGGGGGAGGGGTTGGGGTGTTTGGGGTAGAGAGCACGTTTGGGTTTATTCTCTGTTGGCCCGGCGGCTTGGAAGAGTTGTCATGAAAGTCGACCAAATCAAATCAGGTGGAAATTCCGTGAAGCCCGGCAATACAGGGGTGAGACAAAATTCGGTTAAGAGAATCCAACGTGTGCAGTAAACCGCTAAGTTCGTTACACTGTAATCTGGAATGAATTCAGCGCCCCAGTGACGGGGATCACACCCAGCACCCAAGTGGGACGACTGAGCGAGTCACACTTTGACATTGGTTTTCAGTTAACTCAGTTCCCAGGAGAAAAGGAGTGGCGTAACGGCAAGGTGAAGAGTCCGATCAATTGAACATTGAAGTTTCTCTCATCTGCAGTGGTGCAACAGCAGCGTGCGAGCGAAGAAAAGCGGCAAAGGAAAAGTTTAAGGGAGGTATCATGTGAACCACCATGAATCAACACGTGGAAAAGTACGATGACAGCTTGTGAAAAACAGAGCAGGTACACGGAAGTGATCAGCTTCCGCCTCCTAGGATCTTGCAAGGAGCTTGGGTGGGTTCAGAGCTCCATTTGGTGAATGAGTCAGCCATGTGTTCAATCGGATGGATTTGATGAAAACGCATCGCCCCGCTGGCCCCTGTGCTGAAATTTCGAACGGGGAGCTCCTTCAGCTGCGAAGACAAAAAATTGGGATAGTTACGTGTTCTTTCACCGGCTGGGCTAGTGACCAAAAGCAAGCAACTTGTGATATATGATGATATATGCAACCAACACCGGGGCTTTTGGCGCGATATGGCACGACAACTTGGACACTTCTTTTCATTTTTTTGTGTTAAAAGAGATAGTTTCAATATAATATATGTTCTAAGGATGTTCTTGGCATCAGATGGCCGGATCTGGCCAACCTGAAGTGCACTGTCGTGGGTCTCGTGTCGGCCGAGGACTCCAATGATGGCAGACCCTTCACACTCACCGTGCTGGAAGAAGGGGAGTTGGGAGCCCCAGAGAATAACCTGTACCGGGGTCCGGACTTTTCGCTGGCCAAATGGCACGTGACTCGAAGCCAAACAGAACCAACAGCTCACCAGTCAGTTCCAAAGAATCTTCATGGAGGAAGTCGAGGCCCATGTCACATCCACGGCCCCTGGATGGGACCTTATAACTAATCACCACCCCCCAGTACTGTGTGAACTCCTGGAGGTGTACCGGTTCTACCGACGTCGTACGCCCGTCGCGACGGTAGAAGATCTGAGATCGGTGTCGAAGTGCAGTGTGTGTGCCCGCTTGTAACTGGATGGTGGCCCCGCAGAGGTGCGTAAGACAGGCAGCAGCTATAGGGTGCAAATTGATGGATTCATTCATAAAACATCCTTCCTTCCTACTGACCTAGCCTATCGATCTATCTACCTATACCTAGATTCATTTCATTCATTTGATTTTGCGTGTTTGCTGATTCCTTGCATTCCCTGCTCCTTTCGGCCATTGAAGCTCCCTAGAAATCCGTGTGTCGTTGACCGTCCAGACCGCCCAGGCCCATTCAGCGGGTGCCGGTGGCGCCGGGCTCGAACCTTCGAAAGGCACTGCTGAACAACGGCTTTCAGGCGACGCAGCAGCGACCACCGCGGTCCGCGGCGTCGCGGCGTCGCGGGTTGCGTCGCGGGTGGCGCCCCCGTGCGGGTGTCTTTTCCTCGGGTGGTGTGTGGGACCCCAGATTCGGGTGATGGACCCGGATCGAAGAGCTACGAAGCAAGCAGGCAGGTAGATTCTTTCAATCAATTTATGTTATTCTGTTCGGGGGGGTTGTAGTCATCAATTGCGGAGCTGAAAGCTGTTGAAGCCTCATAGATCCCAGTTGTAAGCCGACATTTGAGCTGTGAAATCTTAGCATGATCACCCACAAGACATCAAGAAACAATTAATTTGAGAGTTTGCAGAAACCAATGGTTTGTGCCTCCCAATTCTTCCAGTGCTGCCTCGTAAAGCTTGCCTTTGCCTTTGCCAGCGCCGTGATCTTCTTGTCGCGACGGTGCAGGTCTATCAAGACCTCCGGTCGGTCTTCAATTGCAGCTCACGTGGTCATTGGATTAGCGGAACGGGATGGAACGGGACGACTGGGGATGCTAGGACGATCTAGGCCGGGTCTTCAGTCTTCAAGCCCGGAGAGGATATTGGAGGCTTTTCCGAGAGAAAGCACTTTCAAGTTGTTTGTCCAAGGAAAAGCACATCCCGTCCACTGCAAGATCAGCTTGTTATTCTTGTTTTTTTCTCCAAGGCTTCAACCATTTTAAGTAAACGTTGTATGTAAGGAGATCTTATGATCGTATGACCAACCAGGCTTCAACGAGTTTAATAGAACTTTGTATCTGAGGGGATCGCAACAATATTAACATAGGGTTTTCGAGCGTGTGCGAACGAGCATGTGCTTGAGCATGTGTTTGTCACCGTTCACCGTTATAAGGTCTGGGCACTGGTTTCATCTTAAATCACTCGATCTCAGCGCTTTTGAGATCTGTTGAGGTGTTTGGAGAGCCCTTGGAGGCTAGTAACTATAGCTAGAATCTGGCCTCAAACTCCAGGAGCTCTCAACCTGAAGCCGACACTAGTTTGGTTCCATGGGGTCTGGTAGAAAAATTGGTAATCTTCGGTCGTTAGCTTTGATTGGGATCTGGTGGGATGCACACAAAGTGTTTCTTGATCCTTGAAACAAACAGGGGATAGCTTAAAATCGAGAGCCATCGTCTTACAAGGCCCCCTTCTTTGCTAGTAGCCAAAGTTGAAATAGTGCCGCGGGCGGTTTAAGCTTGCAAGGCACTAAAAAAAGGCCAGCTGCCAAATGGGTAAGGCGTCCTTTTGCAGACTTTGATTGGTGGTTTGACTCCACCCTGGCGCGCTGATTGTTCTTATTGTTTATCCGCTTTGCGTTTGTACCTGCTAAAAGAATCCGAACACGTATGTCTTTGTGTCATGTCTTTACTGTCTTTGCAGCGCTTTGCTTCACGGGCGGCAAAGCCAATTGACTATGACCATGAGGCCCCTAAGTCCCCTTTCAACTAATATATGAATACATTATGAATACATGCTTGAACATACATTATGAATACATGCTTGAACAAAACACACAATCGATATACACTTAGAATATGATGTTATACATGCATAATCATATTTCATTAACTATATACATGCTTGAGCCAACCCCTCCCCCTCAAAAAAGAAGGCACGCTGGCACACAGGCCTCCCCAAACTTTGCCCGAGCAGTCGCCAGACAGACCTTTCAATCGAGGTAACGCCAACCAGCTCTGTGGTACCTGCGTGTTAGATGTGATGGAGGCAGCTTCCGGGCTCGTCGGTTCTGCGGAGGGATGCGGCGTTTCCGGACAGTTGGGGAGGGAAGATGGGGGTCTGACACCATGATGGGAATACCGGAGTACCTTGAGGAGTTCATTCCCTGAATTCTTTGCTAAGCACCACTCAGAAATGCGACTGTTGCCGTGCTTGGGGTAGGCTGGGTTGATATGTTGCTGTGAGTTGGTCACTTGCTGTGATGTTAGTGCCTGGTTGTGTTGTTAGGTTGGTTGAGAACCCACCTTTGCTGGCAGTGGGGACGGAGCAGATGCCCTGAAGTGTTCTTTATTTTAGCCTTTACCCCTTGGCGTTCGTGTTGCCCATTTTGCTGCCAGGACCTGTACCTCTCCCCTCTCTCTCTGTTTGTCTGTCTCTCTCTCTTTCTCTCTCTTCTTTTTGTCTCTCTTTGTTCGTCCTTGCTTCTAGTTCAATACTCTAAAGAAGTTCTATTTGATCACCAAGTCTTTGTGTCAAGATCCAAAAATCCAGTCGGCATGCCATGTCGGTATCATGATGTAGCAGCGCAGCACGGGATGACACAGAGGAGAGTCTCACTTCTTATCCACCTAGAGCATCTTAGAGCCTTAGTGACCTATTTTGAACCACCAACACCTCAAAACCCTAGGGATCCAAGTACCTTCTCAGGTTAGGTGATTGGAGACACTCTTATGTAGGTTTTGAGGGTCCAAGTACCTTCTGAGGTTCGGTAGGACTGGATCCCTAGGGAAAGATCCTCCTTTCCTAGCAGAACAGGGGTCATGATGGTCATAAATGGGCTATGCCGGCAGGCTGCCACTCATGCCTATAGTCATGCCCGCATTTCGCTTTTCTCGGATCCCGGTCCCAGAGCCAGAGCCCGATCGAGAGCCCGAGCCACCAACGCAGAGCCAGAGCCAATCTTCGGGATCGATTCCATCCTTTCTGCAGTACCATGGAGTTGGGTGCTATCCAAGGAGAATGATATTACTCTCCCTCCAACAAACATGGTTACGTGGAACATGGCCTCTTGGAAGACTGTTTTCCTCTACAAACCGGTGCTTTTCCACTTCCATGATTGTTTCAGGGAGGGTAGGGGTGCTGTCACATCACCCGCCTGTCACCACACCCCACCCAGCTCGCCTTTTATCCCAGCTCCGACGCTAAGAGCCGCCAGAACTCCGTTCCACCGAAGCACCGAAGCAGCGTCGTGTTGCGTCTTGGAACAAACTATACCCAGACACTCCATGTATGCCATATATGCCTACATTGACCCCCAAAACCACCCCATTGTAGGCATATATGGCATACATGGAGTGTCTGGGTATAGGCCTATAGGCATCCGTTTTCGTACCTCCGGACCCGTACATGACTGGATCCAGGGGCACCCGGCACGTCGTCCCGCTTCGCGCTTCGCGCGACTCGCGCTTCGGTACCGACGAAACCGGAGGCCCCGAACGGGAACGAAGCAACGCCCACCGTGCGAGTCGCAGCGACCGACGCGTGTTTGCCGCGCATGATCCGTTGTTCACTGCCCAGGGCGGGGACAGCCTCACCGTGAGGGAACTCAGATGACACGACCCAGAACGGATGGATTTACATGGACCCAACGTCAAGTACCTTGGAGAATGGGACATGAACCGGAGCAAAAACAGGTATGACTGTACCCATTCTCGTCCATTTTCCAAGGTACTTTGAGATGAAAAGGTACCTACATTGGGGTGGTTGAGAAGGGATCAATGTACCTAGAAAGCCACTACAATTTTGTTTCTGGTCAAACGGCCTTGACCAGTTTTCTTCAGTCATTACAACTTTGATCGTCTTTGTCTGGAGCCACTTGTGCGAGAGTTGCTACTTGTTTCTTTGGTTTTTAACACCATGTTCTACGTGTTCTGTTTAACAACATGTTGAGCACACATGAGCAAATACGGTTTTGCTAGGGTTCAGGCCTACCATACTCGGTCAATCTTTGACCATCTTTTTGGGTCATGACCAGTATTTGGACCGCACAAACCAACGGAACGGCCCTTTCCCATGGTCCCATCAGACAGGGGCGTGTTTGGTCGAGAGGCGGTTGGTGAAAAACCAGGTCAATAGCGGTGGCTTCAACAAAGGTCACGGTCCAAACCCATGTCAATAGCGTTCTTTGAGGCCAAGATCCAAGGCTTATCCAATAAGCTCCTAATCCTTAATAAGGCCTAAATCTGCATCACTTGCATCACCATCCTGGGGGGTGTATCCCCACACACTCAAAATCAAAACTCGCTTGTAGGGGCTTGGGGGGCTGCTGATCAGAAAGTCATGTTGCCCCTCACGTCAATGACGCCATGGGAGCTCAACTCCTTCTCTTTCCTATCCAGCACTCATCATGTAAGCCGGCAATGGTATCCACACCTTAAAGGATAAGCTCAACAGCCCCCCCCTGCAGCCCCCCCCTCTGCACCCGTGATAAGACAGTGGCATGCTTGGGTTGAAATGAGGTATGAATCGTTTCGGGTCCAAGTATCTAGTCTAAGAAATAACTTAAAACAATTAAAGTAACTTAAAAGATTCTAGCTGTGGGCCATCCAAATCTATCCAAAGTGGTGATAAGTACAGCCCGTATAAACAAAAAAACAACTAAACTATCCTTCAAGATCAATACATCCCACCTACTTTATAATAGGCATGGTCGACCCTAAGCTTCCAAAAACGATTGATCTACAAAAGGACTTTATGGCACAGCCAAATGTTTACTCAGGATTGTTAAAAACGAACGCCCTCAGAAACCAGATCACCCCTTGTTCTTTCAGGGTCTGGCGGAAGACTGCAACCTTATACCAAGAGTTGCAAAGGGATGCTATCATATGCTATCCATGGACGTGAAGGGTGCCCGTTATCCACACACTTTGGGACTCAACACCACTCCTTTGTAACACCTTTTTGGTCGAACCTCCAGGCCCTGCCTCCGGGGCCGCCGCGCCCATCTCCCAGGTCCGCTCCGTGAACGAGGCGGCGGTCATGGCCGCCAATCCGCCCAGCTTTCGGCGGGGCAGCCGGGAGCGTGGGAGCGGCGCGGTGGGGAACGGTGTCCCATGATCCGAACGGAAGGAATCGGTGGGCGTCAATAGACCCGTTGGGCCACCGAGGTCGCCATGTTTTTGGTTTTCACCGTTTTGAGGGATCCGACGGAGCCAGCGAAGCTGAAGTACGGTGAGACGATCTGATGTGACGCCGGCTTGGGTCAGCTCCAGTCGTACCGAACCTGACGTACGGTGGCAGTGGATGCCTATAGGGTTTGAGATGGTTTGAGATCCCAATAGGAGTGTTAAGCAGAAGACAATGGGTGAAGAAGACACGGCAGTGAAGGTGCGGCCACTTGGCGTCGCAAGCGACGACACTTTGGGGGTGCCCAAATCATGGGTGGAAGGGGCGACGATAGTGAGGGCACCGTATCCAGGAGAAGAGGACGAAGATAGTGACGAACATAAAGCGAAAAAGGAACCCAGACATGACCCCCTTTTTGGATTAAACCACCTTATGGGGCGTTTGAAGGGTACCTCTTCTACAGAGTGGAAACATGTGGAAAGAAAAGCACATATAAACAAAATGCACCTCATTCGGACCCCCTTCACCACCGGGTGGAGTGGAAACACCGGTGGAAATCCCACCCACCATGTTTTGAGAATCTGTGTGAATAGTAGCGTCCTTGCTAGTAGTAGCATATACTAGCATGGGCATTGCTACTAGTAACAAGGGTATTACGTATTACTGCTGGTAGCAAATAGCTACTAGTAGCTTCATGTTAGTAGTAGTAAAGGGTGGAGACACGTCTGACGAAAAGACCTTCTCCGGATGTCAGGCTTTGCTGCAACATCGATGTCTACGGCGATGTCACCGTAAGGCGGCTTTTCTGCCGAACAAAACAGGACCGTCGACTGCCGAAGACTGCAACAGGATGGAGCTATGAATCAAACAAATACGGTGAATTCATATTGCAACTCTATGCAATTCTCCCAATAGTAACAACAGAATTCAATTGGTTCAAGTGGACATGAAGAGAGAGTTATAATATATATATATATATATTTAAAAGCAAATCATATATACTTAATTTCTGCTGCAAGATTACATGTTTGGCTGGATTGCGGGTACTTTGGCAAACCCACCCAAGTGTGTTGCATGGAAACCCAGTTTTTTTGCAGCAAGATATGATTTGCTTTTATTATGTATGTGGGTGTGCCCTCTCCGTAAATAGCAGCAGCACTTGTGTTAATATTATTTGGGTCGTGACATGCGTGGTTAGGTAGGGTGGCCGAGAATCCACATATGATGAACATTATGAATTAATTGGCTATCTTTGCATTTTTGTTCCTCCAACCCAGCGGCAGCTTACCTTATCTTACCTTGTTTAATTTTGTTCATTGAAGACCGTCAGAGCAAGGAGATGTTCAGGTGATTTCAGGTGCCTAAAAGTTCTATGGAAATGACCCATGCAAGCAGTAAGAGGTATGGTTTTTGTGACCTCCAAAAACGGCCAGCTACCAGGTGAACAGGTACTTGGAAAGAAGCACAAGCACTGGCTCATAGCCAATAGCAAAAACTCGAAGCATGCTGAGAATCGGTGAATCTAAGTCTACAGGTTGATTTGATTGATCGTTGGATTGGACAATCATCTACTGGCTGCTCTACCATCATGTACCATCTACCCAGACACGCAGAACAGTAGACTTCTTCGGTCCGGTCTGGTCTGCAGACGCAGACGACCACCCCTTGCCACCCCTTGCCTGCGACATGACCCTAAAAAATGAAGACTGCCATGATTCATAAAAAAAGAAACAACTATTAATGATCATAGACCGCATGATGTTGCACATATGTCACATATGTCATGTGTATGTATATATATATATATTTTTTATTTTTTAGGAAGACTGCCATGAGTATCATAGACCCCATCTTTTGGTCGAGATACACTTCACTCATAACGGTCGAGCTACTTCCGGTCTCTGTTTGGACCCCGTCCACCTGCCCACCGTGCCACGCCGCCAGACTGCGGCCGCGCGGAGTGAAATATGGCGGTGGAACCAGCTGAGCCGAGGATCCCTAGGATCGCCCCGGTCACAGCCATGCGGCCTGAAGACCCCCCTGAAGGCGCTCAGCAAGCGAGCGGATGAACACATGGACCTCAGTGAACATGGGCCTGGTTTGGGACTGGAATAGATGTGAATAGATATGAATAGATATGAATCGCGCTGCTTTCCACCACCCCCAGTCCTGGTACTCGGTCCGGAGAATGAGTGAGTCGATGTGGTTTCTCAACAGATAGCTGTTCTGGAACAGAACGGAACTTGACGACGGTGGTTGACCTGTTCCCAGACACGAGCAGTTCGGGACTGGCATGTTGATCTACATTGGGGTGGTTTAACAGGGTCAAAGGAGGGGGGAAAAGAATATATATATATATATTATATATATATAATGTTTATTTATAGATAGATGCAATATATGGAGTGTTTATGGTTTTTGTCTTGTCAAGTCATCCGTCAATCAGATCATCGACGGCTCCAAGGCTGTCGATGAGGTGAGACTCCACGAAGCGGCACATGGCTAGGGCTGGAAGATGCCACCAGTCTCTCACTAGAGCTACACCCATGGCACAGGCAACATCGGTGGGTGGGTGGTACCCGTCTGTCTTTGTGAACCTGTCTTTGTGATGTATTTTTTTGGAGTGTTCGCTGGGCTAGACCGAAGATCTTCTTTGGAACGATGGTGCATCCGGTGATCCTTGAGCCACAGGAGCAATCTGTTCTCGGTTTCGATCGCCCAGGAGCGATCCGTTCGCCATCTGCAGGCACCCGAGGATGGCGTCAGTTCAAACACTGCAGAGACCTCCGTTGACTCAAGTCCAAGGTGACGGACCGCTCAGGTCCTGGTACAACTGCATCTGATTAGTCCCTACCCAGTCAGATAAGCTTTAACTGTTTATAACTGGCCTACCCAG